AATTTTTCAATTATTAAACATTATTTATGGAAGATTTTACTTTTATTAATAGTATAGATATAGAGTGGTGTAAATAATAATTAATAAGTTATTATTTCCTTATAAAATTAAACCAAAATTATAGTATAGATATAGATTGATGTAAATTATTATTTCCTTATAATATCACTGGCTTGAATTACACATTATTAAAAATCTTTTTTTAGATGACATTGGTAGTAGTAACAGAATTTTGTTCATCCTCGTATAGAGTTAAAACCTTCAGGCCATCAAGATAGGTGACTCAGGAAAAAGTCACGTACAATTGATCGTGATTAAAGATTGATTTTTTAAGTAATAACCCAACGTGAGTTAGTGTTTGGCCCTGACTTTTGTTGACAGTCATGGTATATGCGAGCATCAACAGGAATTGTTTATGCTAGAACTTGAAGGACAATCTCGTATCAAAAGGGTTAAGAGATATTTTAATGGAAGATTTTACTTTTATTAATAGTATAGATATAGCTTGGTGTAAATTATTATTTACTTTTATTAAATTAATAGTATAGATGGATTAATTTCATTTTGAAATCATTGCTTCACATATTTGAATTATTTATTTTTTCTTTAATTATTATAAACAGAAATGATATTGTACTAATTAATTTATGATATTTATCAATTTGTATTTTTTTTAAAAAAAATATAAGATTTACACATGTTATTAAGGGTTAAAAATATTTTAAAATTATTTATTATTATTAAGTATTTTTATTTTTAAAATATTTTCCGGCAACACAAACAATCCTATCAAAATCTGATAAAGAAAAGTCATTTCATTAAAAAATTAAAACTAATTAAAGTAAATCTAATCATGCTATATTTATTTGTAATTGTATATTAATTTCATTTTGAGATTATTGGTTCACATATTTGGATTATTTATTTTTTTCTTTAATTATTATAAACAAAAATGACTTTGTACCAATTTATGACATTTATCCAATTGTATTTTTTAAAAATATAGTGTTTTACTTGTTCGTTGCACGAAAAATTTTTGTTATTAAGAATTTAAAATTGAAAATAGACAAAAATGATGAAAAGACGTTAAACTGTACAATATAATAATATAGTTAGACTTTTACATATTTGAAAAGTATCTATTTTCATAATATACAAAATTTAAATTTTGTATGGTTAATAGAATCTCTAATCAATACATATTTAGATAAATTTATAGAAAAAATTCACATAATTAAGTTGATTTATTCCTAATTATATTTCATATATATTATAATTCTAAAAATATGAATACTAACTAACAAAATTATATATACTTGGAAATCAATAAAAAAATTTAAATTTTAAATTTTGTATGAGTAAACTTAAACTCTAATAAGATGCATTTCCTTATATGATTGTATAATAGATTGTATATACACATAATATTTATTAATATGTATATAGGAAAATTATATAATATAATTTCATTAATTATAATTTATATTGATAGATTTTATTGAGCGGTTAGCATTATTGTAATTGTTAGAATAATTCTATGTTAGTTTCCTATCATTTAGCTATTCTTTGTGTATATAAAGCCTGTAACATTATTCTCTAAAATACACTGAAATAAACACTATTATGTGCACTCATCAATTTATAATTAAAAATTACATTTAGAATTTTTTTTTTTAAAAGCAACATTTAAATTTTGTATTATTATTAGTATAGTGCATAAGTGTATGTATGTATTTATCTAAAAAAAAGTGTATGTATGTATATTTTTTAAAAATTATAAATATTCATGTTTTGTTAATTTTATAATTTTATTTTCTTAATTATATTTTATATTTTATTAATTATAATTTAATAAAATTGCCATAAATATTTCCACGGAATAAATCTTATATTCATTATTGAAAAGGAGATATAATTTAAAAAGTAAATTATTAATTAGATTACCTAATATAATTGTCCTACTAATTGATTCTATGGTTGTATAATTCATATATTTGAAGACTTTTTAAAGCTAAATACCTATTAATTGCCTTAATAATAATTAAGATTATTTTAGTCAATCAATATTCAATAGTAATAAAAGTATTACTTTGATTTTTATAAATAAGATATAATATTATTAAACCGAAATAATTAAAAATAATGTATCCATAGTACAAAAGATTTTATAATGCTAATTTTTATTATCTAATAGAATTTGTCAATTATTAAACATTATTTATGGTAATTATGCTAAATTTACAACATAAAATAATATCTCAAAATCAACTTAGTAATTAAAACTGAAATTACTATACAACAATATTTTTCTCAAAATAACAAATAATTAAACTTTATTCCTTCTCAACTTGTTCATCCCGAATTCGTATCCATGTTCACCTGCATAAATAATTTTACACAAAAACAGAATGTAGACAAAAATTAGCATAAGCTAAGTAAGTTTCACTTCACCCCGTAAAATAGTGGTTTGAATTTTTTATATTTTCAAAACTCATATAATTTCATACTTTTCTAAAATACATGTGGAGTTATACATTTTCTTGTATGGAGAATAAATAGTTATTTATGGAGAAGTAACCAAATTTTTTGAAATCCACTTTGAAACTGGACTAAAACCTATGTGCACGCCCAGAAGATTTCAAGCCACTGGGTAATATATGATCAAAGTAGTTAGGTTTTCTTACCTACTACCACTCAAACAATTTGGAAATTGAAACATAACTTATGTGATACACTCTCATGTGAGTCCAAGCCCAATGAGTAGTAAATAGTCAAGTAAACAGTACTCACTCTTACTTGGACACCACACAATATATTATTTTCTCAAAATTTCATTATTTCTCCACAAATAAATACTTTCTCCACAAAATACAATTTTCTCCAGAATATGTAATTTTCTCCAAATACATTTTTCAAAAAAAATACAATTTTCTCCACATGATTTGTCCAAAATATAATTATAGTCCATAATCCAGTATTAATACATACTTTGATATTTCGAGAATCACCACTCACAATATTACCATTTATCGATAAATGTACTTGTGTTCACATGAATAACATATATCATATAATATCACATATAATATCAATACATACAATACTCGGGGAAAATAATAATTTTGGTGAATATAAAATCTTACCCTCACAGGCAAACTTTCTATCAACCTTAATAGCATCCTAACCACCTTGATAAGAAACCTGTGAATCAAATAAATCGAATAATAATAATAATCGAAGCATATTATTCATTGATCATCATCATCAATCTCAACAAACTTAGATTTAAACAAAAGAATTTGGAGAGTAGAAACAATTACCTGAAGTAGGGATTAAGTGAATGAGTTTTGCTAGGATTGAAGAAAACATAGGAATATATTGAAAATCATGAACAACCAGTAGTGTGAGGGAAGATGAATGAATGCCAAAGTCTATAAATTTGTATTTATAGGTGAAAATAGTAATTCGAAAAGAAAGTATAATAATTTATTTAAAAAATATAAAAAGTAAAGTAAGTAAGGTAATAAAATTATTATTATTATTAATATATATAGATTAAATTAAATATTAATTGTATAATGTATATAATGTCTATATATATACCACACGGAATATTTACTATATTTAATTATTATTTTACTACCTAATTTATATATTATTAATACCAATATATAAATCTAATATATATGTATAATATCACACGTATATATAAATGAATATATTTATTTTTTTATATCTATAATTATTATTTCCATAAACAGAATATATATGAATTCACATAAATGACCCTAAGTTTTGGGGGGAAAATTGGTTTGGAGGATTTTACTTTTATATATATATAGATTTTAGAATCTATAAAAAGTATAATTCAGTGTTGATGGGTAAATATGTACACAAGACCGATCCGTCAAGAAGTCATCAAATCGGTCTATCACAGTCATTAGCCCGATAGGACTAAAATACTTGTGGTCAATCGTACCGTTCGTACCGATAGGTCTCGTGACAAGAGAATATGCTCTCGGATCACCCTTGGAATCGCGCCGGCGGAAAGTCACCCGGTCGGTCTACCGTAGGGTGACTGGTCGGCCTACAAGATGACGTAGCCTGCATAGCCGAAAACGTAACTTACACAACAAGTTATAAGTGCCAACTTGAGCCTGCAGAGCGGCGATTGATAGCCTGCAAAAGTAGCGGCTCTGCCTCATTGATTAGTCAACCTACACATAGTTGCAGAGCGACTGCTTGACCAAATCAATGGGAAAATGCCACGTCGAGCCACGTGCAACAGGCGCATTAAATGCGTAGGCCGACTTATTTAGTATAAATAGGAGGGTCTCACCCCTCACTTGGGGGATCTTCATCTTCATCTGAGTACAACTACAACTCACTACATTGTAACCTACTACTCATTACTTGTAATACTACTAAGTCTCAGATCGCTCAGTCGTCGCCCGGTAGACCCGACTGACCCATGAGCGCTCTGTTCTACTCGTTCACAAACATACGTATTCGTAGTGTAATCGTAACCTCCAGTTCAATTTACGCTATCAAGTGTCATGACATATATTAATGCAAAATCATCAAATTTGTCATAAAAGTAAATATTTTAAGATTATAAAGTAAAATTCACTCGAAATGCATTTTGGTTGTGAAATTTTTTATAAATCAAAGTGTGAATAGTTATTGCGTGCAATCCTAAAACGACGTCATTTTTGTATAATTTTTTTTTACGCAACACACTGCAACATATATTTTTATAATCCATAATGTACATTATATTACCTAAGAAGTTTCATATTTTAACACGTAATGTATATTATTTTAACACCTCTTTCATATAATGTACATTATTTTTACTCATAATATTTAACGATGTCGTTTTGGATTGTGGTCCACACAGCTGTGTGGATCATAATTTGCTGGTGCGTGTTGAGTCGAGCTTAACCCGCATAAAGCTCGTGAGCTATGGGTAAACACCAACTGGGCAACTGTAATGGGCCAGCCCGATACGAAAACGGAGCTTCAAAACTCAAAAGAGTTAAGGGCGGGCCTAAAAGCTACCGAAATTTAATTTCCCGCTCACAAACCCTTGAAACTATCTCCCTCCATTTTCTTTATTGTTTCCAATTTCCTTCCACATCTAGGAGAATTGCCAAGCGGGCCCTCCTTGCGATTTTGCTCCCCAAATCTTGAGCCTAAGAGGTGAGTGCCTAAACCCCATTCTTCTTCTATTTTCACTCCAAGATTCGTTTTTTGCTCTTAAAAAACTCATCTTTTGTATTCGTCGGTGGTTTAGGCTATGAATTCCTGTAATTTTAATTACTTTGCTTTTATTTGTTTGTATATATAGATCTGTCGCATGAATCTTGGGGTTGGGGATTTTCTTGCAGCTTTAAATCTTCGGCGCTTTCCTTTTTGGGTGTCTCTCAAGTGATAAATTTGTGATTTTTCTTGGTGAATCATCCTGCGTACTTGAGGGTTTTGGCATTTTAGGTGATAAAAATTCACTTTTTTTTTTTTTTCATTTAGTTTTTTGTTGCACAGGTAAATTTTGTGATAAGGGGTTGTGGGTTGTGTTGAATTTTAGAAGCATTTTTTTTTCTTTTTAATTTTTAACTGATATATTTATCTCGGACTAGCACAGTTCGTGATGAGAGAAGATAGCATTTCTGATGGATCTCATAAGCCACGGTCTGTTTTTAGAGATGTAACAAACCAGCTTGGCAAAAGGAGTTCATCTTTGATTTCGGGCAAAAAACCTGGAGATAGGGAGAGGGAGAACTTAGGAACCAAGCGTGTTCTTGAAAGTGATGGAAACAGTGGAAAAAGAGCTTGTCTTTCGCCCCGAGAATCTGTTGAAAATAATCCTTTGACAAGGAATGCTATAGTTGATAGTTTAAAGAACCCTGTTGGAAGCAAGACCCTTGATGTTTCATATCTTGATAAACACAATGCTATTACTAGGAGTGTTAGTGAGGGCTTAAGGAAAGGGTATGTAGCTGGCATCTCGGGGGCAACAGGTGTGTCGGGTTCAGAAGGTCAAGATGTTGGGAAAACGTTTGAAGCTAGTGGAGACAGAGCCAGTTCTGAAAGCACCGAAAGTGATACTAATGGATGCCAGAATGAAGGTGAGGAGCATGGTGCTGAAAATCTGGTTATCAGTCAGTCGGGGTCAATTGACTATTCAAGATTTCTTGAGTCACAGGAATCACAGGTTGAACCCGAGAAATGCACAGAACTTAAGGCTATTGATGGTTGCTCTGAACCGGTTATAGGCATTGACTCCACCAAAACTTGCCCGTGCTCTTTTTGCACCAAAGGTAAAAAGTTTATATTAAACCATTTCCTTTTATGCTTTCAGTGCTTGCTAAATTGATGAAATTCCTTTAGAATCTTATTCAAAATTTATATGATAGTAATGTTTGATCCTTCTGCATATTAAGTGATATACTGATGTGTTTATTTCTTTTATAAATGATTAGCTGCTTACATGTGGTTAGACCTCCACTACCAGGATGCAAAGGGCCGAATAGCTGGTGAGTTACTACAAAAAAGTATTGTACTTTCTATTTACGATATTGAGACTTAAAGGTTAAGTTTTCACATTTGGTATTGCTGTTTTTTTTTAATCAAATTACTATTATCATATTAGCATTAAAGAAGAGTCAGAAAGAAGCAAGCATTTTAGTCGAAAGAAGTTCCAAAGGCAAGGCACCGCAGAAATATGGTACAGTACATAACAGTGATGTGTCTAACTTGGAATTGAGTTTATGGGGTCAGTGGAGGTCTCTCTTTTTACATATGGAGAATATATACGAGTGTGAAATCAGCCAACTTGTAAGTTAACCATTTTCCTCGTTACTTGTTTTCCTTCAGTTTCCTTGAATTACTATTCAGCATTCAAGCTTCTTGTGATCATTGAAATCTCCAAAGCTGCAATATTTTGTTTTCAAACACCAACCGAAATTTTGGATTGTTCAATCACCATGCACATACTATTTGTTATTTCCTGTGCTATTGTTATTGAGCATGTTTTGCTGTGTTTATTTGCATCTTGAGCGAATTGGTTGGTGTGTGTTATCACAAATCTCCAATCTAAGAACGGAAGTAATCCCAACACAAATGTTGCTATTTGAAAATGTCACTCTTTAAATAAGTAAAGTAAGTAGAAAAGATAGAAGATGGTAATGAATGTAATCATAGTAATGTGGTTATAGTGACATATAATCGAATATATGATAGATAATTCTGTTTTCTATTTAAAAAACAATTTTTAGGAGTTTTTTAGTTTTCTAGAAAACTGGAAAATTGTTTTCAGTTTTCAAAATGGAAAACTGTGCTATTAAACATGTTTTCTGTTTTCTATTATCCAATTCTCTATTTTTTTGGAAAACTGGAGAAATTTTCCAGTTAGTAAACGGGTCCTAAAATTTGTTAATCTATATCACCTTTAGAGGATTCCAATATATTTTGCCTAAACTTTCTAATAGAAAAAATGCCAAGAACACCGCATTTGTTTCTTTTTGTTGGTTTTTCTGTCTGCCTTTGACTCTCCCGTTTTCAGTTTCTTTAAATGCAAGATTGCTAGTTATAGCTGTCTATATTAAACAGATAACAGTTGGTTGAGATCAGATTGTATGATCTATAACCAACAAAATCGTTGTGTTTGCTAGCTAGTGCAGATATGAAAATCAAATGTCGGGAACTAACCATGCACTATTTGCGTGTGGCAGGAGTCTAGTTTACTCTCGTTAACTGATCTCAAGGAGAGATGCAAGGCAGAACTGGAATTGATTAACAAGGCGCCTCCAGAGCCACCCGAGCATTGATATCTTCTTGCCCCGTCTTCCTTCCTGTGTCTGTAATTTTACCCGTTTGAATTCTGGGGTTAGCCTCTTGTTAGCCTGTATCTGTAAAGTAGGTGAAATTGTGAGGTTGTGCTCTAGTTTGGTTTGAAACCAATCAATGTAGTGAACATTTAGGATGGATTCTATGTAGAATTCATTTCAGGTGTTTTCTTGTTTTCTGGCATTTAAGGATGCATTTTCTGATTTTCTCAAGTGTTATACTTATCCTCACTCAATTCAATGGGTTAACTCTTGTTGGTGTAATCAACACAAGCACTTGGGCCAACTTGAGGATGGATGGATTGAGCTACATGGGTTAGTCCAAGAAAGCTCAATCCACTTGTATAAATAAGTTACATGTAAGCTAGAGGTGGAGATTTACCCTAGGGTTATTGCCCAACACATATATTCTTTTTTTTTTTTTTTTTTTTTGGTCCTTGAATTCATTTTTTTCTTTAGGGTGAGTCTCTTGTGAGACAAGTCAGGTTAAAATGAAAATGTAATATTTATGTTAGAAAATATAATATTAATGAGGAATAAATTAAATTGTATGTTACTTATATTTGAAAATATAATATTTTTAATGATAAATGTGATGCTTTTATATCAAATATAATATTAAGAGTTGAAGACTTATTTATGATAAAATTGTAATAGATAGCTACTACATAGAATATTCCTTCAGAAATTGGATTCTCTACTTTTATTATTATTAAAAAGTGAATTATTTCAGGTTGACATTTGATAATGGCCAGAATCAACCCAAACTTATTTATTTATTTATTACACAAAGTCAACCCTCACACTTTTTTATTTATGGGTACAGAAGGTCAACCCACACTGAATTATTCATTAGTTTTTAATGTGCATATTTATGTTGGAATGAATCATATTAGCAACAATGCAACTAATAAACATCAAATTAAAACATCAAATAAAAAAAATAAACATGTTTTGTCCCACCAAATTAAAGCATCACTAAATGCTAGAACACAATTAGATTAAGGCTAAGGGCTTTTGGTTCAAATATTGAAATTAAAATTGTAATTAGAATCAAATACTTATCATTATAATTAGTTTAAGTAAAGAAAGTCTCTTTGTTAGTCAGTAAATAAAAATTAGAATTAAAATAAATAAATATATAAAAGTATATAATATGTACTCCGTACATATATACATACACATACACAACTTAGTCTCTTTGTTAGTCAATTTAGATTTTTCATAATTGAACAATTTAAAAAAATAAAAAATCAATAGACAATCTCCATAAAGAGTCAAACTTAAAATATTATCAAGCTAATCATCCGACCAACTTAGTTAGGGTTACCTACAACAAATTAATCTTTTTTTGGTTTGATCAAGTAACTTGTGCTTGTCGATTAGCTTGTTTGTGTTTATTATGGAGCTCAACTACAACATTTTACATTTTGAGTATATCTTTATACATAATTGTTATACATTACTCGAGCTTTACCTGATAAATTATAATTTAATTTTTTAAATTTATTAATAACAATGGGTGATGGATTTAATTCACCCGGGGTGCCCGAATTATTAAACCCGGATAAGAATGTGTACGAAATAAATAATATAACGCAGAGATGTCATAAGGTCGCAGGGACCGTATATTGTATTAATTATCGCTAATAAGCTATTACAAGACTTGATTAGGACAATAATGCTAGAAGATAGTAGTTCAAGAATCTCTTGTGTTAGGTAATGATCAGGGGTCCTTTGTTAGGACAAGGAGGGAGCTTTTTATACCAGCTCAACCCCCAACCGCACCCCTAGAACCGGGGGTGGTTAGATCGGCCCGCTTTGACCGCGTCTCCTCCGGGACCGAGTCCAAAGCGGGGCGACTTGACATGGCCGAGCCGGGCATGTGCCAAGCTCGGGCTAGCCGAGTCCACCATGGACCGGCTAGGCTCGGCAATAGTCGGGTCCATGGTGACGAGCTCGGGTGTACCGAGCTCGTCCGTGGCCGGGCTCGGCCCATGACCGAGTTGCTTTGGGCTGACCCGGCCACGGTCCAAGGGGTTGGGCCGAGGCGCCTCGGGTCCGTCTCTCCGGGTCGGTTCGTTCCGGGTCCAATATATCGATCAATGGGTATGGTATAACATATTAAGAGAGTGGTGGAGGAGGTTTGTTATGATGTGTTGTCAACTAATAACTACAAAGTTGAATTAGTTTATCTCAAGATATATTTTAATATGGATCGGAGATTAAGATCAGAGTAATCAACACTTTATATATATATATATATATATATATATATATATATATATATATATATATATTTTAAGTGTCATCAGGCACAAGTATCTCGTATAACTCGTGTTTGGTATATGCAAAATGCAATAATATTGTGCAGGACCGCATTTTAGGTTTTTGTGGTCCTATTATAGTAAATTAATGAAGCTCCACAAAAATCACAATTTTTAAAACCAATATTATGCAAGTTTTGAACATTTGATATCCAAGTTAAAATACAATAAATGAGCCTCTAAAATTTGGGGCCCCTGTGCGATAGCCCAGCTTGCAAAGTTTAAAATCCTGCCCTGATATTGTGTATCTTCCTAATTTTGAAAAGACAATGAAACTAATTAATTAAGACTACCTTTAATTCCTTCTCCCTTTTCTTTGTTGCGTAAGTTTATTCAATTCCATACCTTTCTCCCTAAGTCCCCAACTAACATGGAAATGGAAAGAGTAGTACGTGACAGGGACACTTTTAGAGCTTTGCACATTTTGAATCAATTTAAATAAAGAATAATGCTATTTTCTATATTAATTTTGGCCTTGTTTGTTAAATGGCTGTTAGTTGTTAGCTGATTGTGTTAATTAGATGGTATAACTAGTTGATAACATTAATTGTTATAGAAAAGTGTTTGGTAAATTAACTGTTAGATGATAGCTGTTTGATATAATTTCTTTTCTTAAAAAGCTAATTGAAAAAGTTGCTAGGAGTAGCTTTTTGATTTTAGCATTTTGAAATTGCAAAAAGTTAATTAACCAAACACTTATATTAATATTTTAACTAAATCAAACAATTAATAATGGTCAAATAATGGTCATTTTTTTACCAAACAGGACTTTTATCTTTTAATAGATTAACACAAAGATAAAGGCCTGTTTAAAAGACTCATACACGATTTACAAATTTTAAATGCTAAAAATGCACCGAACAAAACTACACAGTGCATCCAATGATAAGTAAAACTGCAACTGTCTTGAGACTTGAGTACGTATTTACATATGATCGAATGCACTTTTAGAGTTATAAATCTTGTGCACACATTTACGTATTATCGAATACACTTTGTAGTTTTAAATGATATACTTTCATACTTTTTACTAAGAAAACATGTTCTCGTGAGAATTAATCCCAATATATCATAATTAAAAAGTGATATGCCCAACTATATATCAATATATTCGAATCAAATAAAAGCAATACATGAAAATGAAGGAGGTATGGAAGTAATAACACCTTCACCAAATAGAACCCCCCACATTTCCTCAATCATTATATTATATATCATAATCAAAGGAGTTTTAGGCCACCGAGGTGGTTCCTACTCCCAACTGTCCAAGTCGTTGCAGATAACTACCTCCACCTTTATGAACAAAAACATATGATAATTATTTCCGCACGAACTTAGCTTAGTGGTTCAGTAAGTAATATTTGAAAGAAGAGATCAATGTTTGAATCTCGGTGATAGCAGTGTGGAAATTATGTTTAAAGTGGTCAAATGCTTGTACGCACTAATATTTGACACTGTCTATTAAATTATTGAGTCACCGTAATTTACATCTTCTCAAATTTTTTGTCGGACTGTTTATATATTATTTCTTTTTATTTAATTTACATGTCAAAGTCAACTAAGTTGTGTGTATAATTGAGATAAAATATAGGGAGAGGGAATCTCGCATGGGAGCAGTGCCAGTGGTGAGTGGTGGGTGAGCACTATCCTCTTTGACTTGGATCGCTTCATCGATTGCCACCACCCAACATCACTTCCAACATATCGGAATACATAGTATCATTGGAATTGAAGAAACTACAAATGTGTGTTTACGAGAACTTCTTTTTTTTCTTCAACAAATAAAAGAAAAATTGATAATATTTTTACTTACATTTTTTAAAAATAGAAAATAAAAGATAAACAACTAAGAAAATAGAAAAATAGAAGAATTAAAGTAAATGTAATCTAAAGTTTAAACCTCAATCAAGTGAAAAGATGTATAGTTTATGTACTTTAATGGAGTAACAATTCTCACTTTTAATGTTGAAGATGTATAGGGGCGCGTTCGGATTAGAACGAATGTTTAGAAAAGAAATGATAAGAACCAATCGCAGTTGTCTATTTGTCTAGATTTAATAGATAAAATGTAATTTAAAAAAAAAAAGATTTGGCGACATTTTTGTAAATAATTCAAATTTTGATGCAAGTAACATGTGTTAAAACATAAAAGTACAAGTAATTGGTGCAAGTGTGCAAGTAAAAAGTGCAATCATTTTCACTTAATAGTGCAAGTAATTTACTTTTTTAATATTGGTACACCTAATGATAAAGTCTTTCACATTAGTGCACTTAATGATAACGTTTGATGCAACTAATGATAACGTTAGATGCACTTAATATTATGCTTAGTGTACATTATTTGTTACACTTTTAATACATTCTACTCGCACTTAGGTGCATTATATGAAATTGTTACTTACACTTTTAACACAATTTACTTGCACTTCAAAGTTCAATTATTTACGAAAATGCCACCGTATTTTTTTTTAAATAATGTTTATGATCCGTTAGATCTGTACACGTGAACGGCTACGATTGATTCTCAATTTTCTCCTGGGCAGTTGATTCTCATATGATCCGTCTCATATATATATATATATATATATATATATATATATATATATATATATATATATATATATATATATATATATATATATAGTTACGTTCAAATGAGAACCAGTCTTAACGGGGTGTTTGGTTGGAGAGAGGGAATTACGTGAGTAAAGAATTGCAATTTCATGGAAGATGAATTACTTGGAATAAAATTACTGGGAATTTTAATTTCAATATTTGGTATACATGGGAATTGAGCGGAAATAAGTAGTATAAAGTCTAAAATGCTCATTGTTGTTGTCAAGCATCAATTTTAGGTTAAAAAAGGGAAGGGTAATTTCGTCTCAT